GAGGTACCTGGGCCTCCTTTTGGCCAAGTACATGCAGTCCAAGTGGTTGGTACCAACTCGGACTGCCTCCTTGCCTACTCCGGCCTCTTTTTCATTGGTCAAATGCTGCCCCCTAGGGTCCTAATGCCCAAGGGGCAGCAATACTTGGAAGAAAAAGGCCCACCAAAAGGCCTTGTGGGCCTTTTTCTCAATTTTTTCTAGTTTCGGCCTCTTTTGAGTAGGCCGAAGCATTTTTTCATATGGCGGCACATTTTCAGCCTTGGATCTGGCTGAGATCCAAGGCCAGCAATAATCCGAGCTACCCCCTAGTAGCCCTTGCTTCAATTTTGAGCCCCTAAGTTCAGTTTTTCAATTTTTGGTGCATTTGGCTCTCTTTTTGGGCCAAATGCACTATTTTGTCATTTTCCCTCTTTTGTTTCTTTCCATTTTGGACTGTCACCTCATTTCGGAGCTCGCCGTTTTGAGCTGGCCCACAAAAAACGGCTAGTTCCTCTCTACCATGATATCTGATCTCAGAACCATGGTCCAAAAGAAAACCGGCCACTTCCTTTTTGCATTTTCTCTCATTTGCAGTTTTTTAATTCAGATTTTATTGAGATGCCAGTCCCTACGGTACATTCTCCTCCACTCTTTTCTCCTTCTTTGTCTCATTCTCCCTCCTTTTTCTCTCATTTTTCTTTCTTTTTCTTTTATTTCTGTTTTGACAAGTGTCAAACTGGTGTGCACCCTCTTTCTAGGCCCTAGGACCTTATTCAAGGTCAGGTTCATGGCTGTTGTATGACCGTTACATCTCAGATTCCAATAATGGCACCCCCATGTTCCTAGGAGGCTCTTTTTTGCTGTCGTTTGCCCAATTCTGAGCCCCTTTTGCTCCAATTTTCTAAGGGCAACCTTTTTCTCATGTTGGGCCTCTCAAGGCTCTATTTTCTTATGCCTTGCTAGTCCGAGATATCCCGGGCTGCTGGCCAACCTTCCCAACACCCTTATTTCATTTTTCTTTCTCTCATGACTCTCCTACTTTCTCCCACTAGTGCTTGCACTAGTGGTGCTAATATTTTCCACCGTCCAGCTCCTCGATCTCGACGGCGCCGCTTGCTTGCACAATTATTCATTATGGTTGCTCATGGTTCCCTTGGGACATCCCAAGTCTCCGCCATTCTCCTCCATACTAGTCCCATGTTCTTGTCCCGCCGGCGGTTCCGCGGACGCATGTCCCATTTTCCGATTTGTATTATTTTGACTCATTTGGTCCCCGACAATATTCTGGACGGCGTCCCATTTTTATTTTTTTTGGGGTCCATTGCCCTTGGTGGTCCCATCATTTCTACATGTGTGCCGATTTTTCTAGGCCGCGAGATCCCATCTTACGGTCGTCGTTTACCGTCTTTACTTGCCCCCTTGCCGAAATTGCTTCTTTCTAGCCTTTCCGGGCTTGCTGTAGCCCATTTCCCCTTGGCCTTGGCATCATTATGTAGTCCGTAATTTCTCGGACTGCAGTCATGGCTGTTTTCCATACCCACAGCCCCACAACTTGCCCCATGTTGAAAGAAAATGAAGCGTTTAATTTTCTAGTGCATTCGGGCTTAATATTGGCTCCGGATGCACTTAGAACATGTGTTTTCCTTCCCCCATGCAGTCCGTTGTAGCTCGGATTGCAACGGGGGTAAATTCCTTAGCCCCAATGCCCCACAACTAGCCCTCACTCAAAAGAAAAAGAAACGGCCAACTCCCAAGTGCATCCGGACTTGAGTTTGGCTCCGGATGCACCTAAAACATGTGTTTCTCCTCATGCATGCATTCCGTTTTATTCTGGTTACAAGAGGCCTTGATTTTCTTTTATTTTCTCTGCAAAAATCAAAGAAAATCAAAGTCCTTTGTAACCACCATATTCCAGAATGAATCTGGTCACGGATGAATCTCCCCAAGTGACCGTTTTTTACCATTAAGGCATTTTTCTTTTTTCTTTTCTTTTCTTTTCTTTTATTTTCTCCTCCTTTCTTGGATAGTAGGGACCTGCCAGTCCCTACTGACGGCCAACTCACTCACTCCCTCTCACTCCTTTTGTCTTATTCTCCCCCACTTTCTGTTATTTTCTCTCGTTTTTCTAGCATGTTAAGTGTCTAGTGGCCGTTGAGGCCCTTTTCTAGCGTCTTCCTATTAGTTTCTGCCCTCCCTATGCCAAAGGTGCAGTCCGTTATTTCTTGGACTGCAATAATGGCCTTCCCATGCCCATGGGAGCCTCATTTTACTCCTACACTTCTCCCCCAATGGTCCCTCCTACTCCGATTTTCTCCCGGAGGGCTATTTTTCACATGGGGTCTCATTTGACTCTATTTTTTTTAGGGAGGCTGATCCGAGATTTTTCGGATTGCTCCCATGCCTCCCACTTCAGTTTTCTTTACTTTTCCTTTTTTTTTTGGCCTCTCCGTTTGTCACCACTAGTACTTGCACTAGTGGTGCTAATATTCTTGACCGTCGATCTTGACGGTGCACTTTGCATTTGTTATTTTTCCCTCATGCGGTGCCGCCGTTTCTTCTTGGGACTTTCACGTGTCCCCGCTACTTGTCCCGTTGGTGGTCCCCGACACTTAGTCCCGTCGGCAGTCCCCGACACTTAGTCCCGTCGGGGGTCCCCGACACTTAGTCCCGTCGGCGGTCCCAGACACATTAGTCCTGTCGGCGGTCCCCGACACATTTCGCCCCGGACGCCATTATTTTTACTTAGTCCCACGTGGCCCCGGGTGCCTTTCCCCGAGGTGTCCCATGCTCCTTGGGCGTCTTGTCGCCCCATAGTGACCCCTGTCCTTAGTCTTTCCTCGCGCCTTGTGCGTGCCGATCTCTATGGTCGTGGGCCTCCGCTCCGAGGCTCCCGTAGGTGGCCTCCGTGTTGGCCCTCATTTCCTGGTTTCCCGCGGCTTTTGGCCGTCCATTCCTCGACTTGCTCATTCCCTTATTGTTGTCGCGCTTGCTAGTTCAAAGGGCCCTTTGACCTTAGTCTTATTGCATTCCGATGGCCCTCCCGGCCTCCTGCCATGTTCTATGTGCCCTTGTTCTTGCGCTTGCTTGCTTGGCGCCGCTAGTTCTTTCCTCCTGTGGTTTTCTTCTCAGAGCATAATTCCCTTCTACGGCCTAATCCTTTGTCTTTCCTCTCTCCTGCTTTCTCACTCCAGATTTCTCTGTTGTGCACAAATCGTCCGTATTCAACCTCTCGAGTGCTGGGAAGTTATTAGGGACCCACTAGTCCCAACAACGGTGGCACCTGGAGTTGCGCACAGTGGCGGTTCCCCSCCGCCMGGKCGRGGRGGKGKGGGKGGSAGATGGTCAGCTGTTCGTCGGGACGGGGACCGATTGCGGGTGGATTACGACGCCGGGAGGGGCTTCTTCACGGGATGTACGCCTGTTCAGACGCAGGCTGCGGAAGGTCCAGGCCCTGTTTCGGTGCCAGTGAGTGAGGGGCACCGTGTGGGTAGTGGGCAATGTGGGGAGGGCGGTGGCTCCAGGCCCAGGCCACGACAAAAATGTTGCCGTTTTAGATAAATGTTGCCATTTATCTGAAACGGCAACA